AAACAGACCATGAGTGCCATTTGCAGGATCTTTTTTGGGTCGAGAGCATCATTACACGCTGGCGCCATTATCTATCAACAGCCAAACATCGATATCTGTCTAGAGAAAGGCATCGAAAAGCCAGCCAACCGCTAGGAAAAATTTAAAAATGGAAAATGTCGTAGAGTTTGACAGCAAAGTCCAATTTAAATGGGAAATTCCTTGAAAAAACCATGAGTCTTGCCAGTTTACACTCAGCCAAGCCTAGGTGTCCCCAAGCTAAAGCGGAAGTTCATTGCCATCCCCGCTGTAAACAATAATGAAATCACCGAATCTCAAAGATATCAGAACCAAAAAAAAACCCATGCATGCCCCTGCTCAGTAGTTGACAAGGGTTAATTACAGATACAGCTTCTACAGAAACCATGTACACCCCTGAGATAACGAAGGCAATTGATAAAGACAGCAAATATATCGACTCATTGGCTGGCAATAAAGTTTAGTTTACGAGAGTCAGCAGCGCCATGCAGAAGCTTCTTCTGGGATTCGTCGGGATTCTTTTGGTCCACTTTAATGTCGATGCGGCGGCGACTGCCCAGAGGCTGCCGGATAGCCGCATTGTCAATGGGCGCGAGGCCGCGGAGGGGGAGTTCCCTTATCAACTCTCGCTGCGGCGCCACACCATCCACATCTGCGGTGCCTCAATACTCGCCAGCAACTGGGCCATAACGGCGGCTCACTGCATCGACAACCACGAGTCGAGTCCCCGCGAGTTCACCCTGCGCCAGGGCACAGTCCTGCGCACCACAGGCGGCTCTGTCCAGCCCGTTCAGAGCATCTACAAGCATCCCTCGTACGATCGGACGGACATGAACTTCGATGTGGCTCTGCTGCGGACAGCCGTCGGAGCCCTCTTTGCGACGCCTATCCGCTTGCCAGCTGTCAGCGAGGCTATCCCGGAGGGCATGTCCGCCGTCGTCTCTGGCTGGGGCCACATGGATATAGTCAATCCCGTCCTGGCTCCGGTCCTCATGAGCACCACTGTGCAGACAGTTAATCAGGAAAAGTGCCACAGCGCCTTGAAAAATCACGGCGGCGTAACTGAAGCGTAAGTGCACACAGAGAGAGATTTATTTATCTCCAATTAATGTCCCACTATCTTGTCTAGAATGTTCTGTGCGGCCGCCAGGAACACGGACGCCTGTCAAGGTGACAGCGGAGGTCCCATCAGTTCGCAGGGTACCCTGATTGGCATCGTTTCCTGGGGGGTCAGCTGTGCGGATCCCTATTATCCCGGTGTGTACACTCGTCTGGCCCATCCCACTGTACGCCGTTGGATACGTCTGCTCACCAAATTGTAAATCTCCATAAATAAAGCAAATTTGTAATATCAAGGATAGCATACGTGACTGCCGAGATAAGAAGTACGCTTTTGAATGTAAGCGCCCTTGCTTCCAGAGGGGGTGATTTGAATGCAAAATTCAAATACAAATTTGTAAAGTATAAGGTCATACGGTATACAATCCAATAAGAATGCGTTTTTATAATAAGCCAAATGGATTCTTCAATCGGTTTAAGTGATTGTTTCAGTGTTAAAAGTCTTTGCTAGCAGTAACATCAAATAGAACATTAAAATCGGGGAATATGATTTAAGGCCACGGTATATTTAGGTATATTTTTGATGGTCGATAGTGGGCACCATCGATAGTGGACGATAGTAAATTTTAAACCATCGATAGTGTGCGATCCTATCGTCGACAGTCGCAATAGAAAATTTATTTTTTTTAAATGTGTAACATTTGTTTAGTATTTTTTATGAATTCCACAAATTTTGGTTTAACAATAATTATCCTATCAGATCCCAATTCGGTGATCTGATATATATAGTCATTCCCTATGGAATGGCATTCGTTAGTTCTTTTATCTTCAAAATTGTAGCTTTGTGAGATTTTCGCCCTTTTGTTGGGTCGGAAGGGGGCGGGGTTAATTTTTGAAACTATCTTGATATTATCGACCACTATCGAGACTTTAAACCATCGATAGTGAGCTAGGTCGATATTGTCCAACCATCGATAGTACCGATATTGCCATCGATAGTTCTCCACCTCTAGAGGGTATATTTTATCAATATTTCCGCGGTCACACTGTTGGATTTTTTAGATTTTAGTTGTTTTTTCGACGGTTATTTTAGGTCCTGCCCGTTACAAATACAAGTTTTAGCCGAACCTAAATCCAAGGCTAATCTTAAACTAAATGCTGAGTAAGCAGTAAGCCAGTGGCAGTGATATCCCAGGAGAAACAGGCGTGGGAGTGGCAGCTGTAGCAGCAGCGGGTGGAACAGTGTAGAGCGGGTGGTGTGGTGTGGGGAGTGGTGGTGGCGGCACGCATTCTATTTAGGGTGAGTGCGGTGCAGATGCACAAGAAACTAGAGGACTAGAGAGAACTACTAGAGGTAAAAATAAACCAAAAACTGACACTTAAGTGCAATCTTTCAACAGTGCCCTCTGCTGAATGTACTGGCGCTGGCTGTGGCTCTGCCTTAAGATGATCTACCAGGTGCTGTGCTGCTCGGTGAGCTTGATCTTCTTCTGCTTCAACGTTTTCTGGCTGTTCTGCAACCTGGCCATACCCTGGTGTACCCTGACCCTGCTCGTCGTCTGTGTGGTCTCCAAGTTCGTGAAGCTGCAGCGCAGTCCCAACGAGAAGCGGCTGCTCAGCCTGCTGAGCGCGCCGGATGATTGGCCAAGTTACTGGCCCATCGCCAACCGGGCTGCCGGCTACGATGCGCCCGAGAACTCGAAGGCAGCTATCAAAAAGGTGACGTCATGAGTCGGTGGTTGCTTCGGACCTTACCCCAGCGAAAATCAATAACATCCCCCATTTTCAGTGCCTAACACGTGGATATCGGAACGTGCTTCTGGATGCCGGCCTCACATCCTGCGGCGAAATTGTTATAGCCAACCCCAGTCGCCTGCCTGTGGCCCAACAGCCATTGAGCGAGCTGCAGAAACTAAACATCACGGAGCAGCATCCCATGGGGTGAGACATTAGCCTGCGGCAAATCAAGTGAAACTTTGTTTAACCCAAAAGCCAATACACAGGTCCCACTTCGAGGCAGAGTCGGTGGCTACGCTGAGGCAGATCTCCGACTATGTGGAGACGGAGGCCTCCTCTGCCACGCTCTTCCTGCGCCTACACGACAACAGTGCCCGCATGCTGGACCAGCTGCAGAAGTTTATGGCCACCAATGAGGCGTTTACAAAGCGCACAATTGTCATAAGTCGCTCTCCGCTGGCTATTTATCAGGTATGGGGTGCATGGATGTGGATACTGACACCCCACTCCTCTTGAAGGATGCTTCTAAAGTCTGTTCTTGTTTTTGTAGCTGCGCAAACTGCATCCGGAGATAATTTGCGGTCTGTGGCATGAGACCTATCTATCGCTTGCCATGCTCAAATCCTCTACACTGATTACCTCAATCTATGGTGCAATCTTTCGAAACATTATTGCCCCCGTGATCGGCATAAGTGTCGTCTTTCTCAGCAAGGAAGAGTTCAATTTGTAAGCTATTCATTGTGATTATTTTAACTCTAATGTTTAATGTCACATTGCAGACACATTGCCGACCTGTGGCGCAATGTGGGCGTCCGTCCAATCGTCTACATGGTGAATTCACCCAACGAAAAGCGATATTTTCAGAAGACCATGAAGATTCAGTATCTGACCGACTCACTGCGCTCCGAGCCGCATCTTCTGATGAAGGCCTAAGTAGTCCCACAGTCCCACTAGTGGGGAAAGCAACGAACTCAAACGAACACAACTCAGACAGGAGCGCACACACAGAGAGAGAAACTGTTTGCATTTAGCTGCGCTACACTTAATTCTTAAGAGTATTTCGTTTTTACTCACCCGCACTTGATATGTGTCTATATGATGCGTTTTTTATACGTGTTCTGTATCTGTAGAAGCTTTAGAAAGTATTACCCGTTGTGTACCCGTACCCGTACCGCTACCAGTACCACCAGTACCAGACGCTATTGTATATGTATTTTATGTTTGATTAAGTTTTGTGCTTTATTTATTGTATGTAGCGGATGCTTTTTATATATTTTACATTGACGTCCTGTATGTTTTTATATATATTTTATTTAGTTATGGATTGATTTCTTTATACCCTGCCTGAAACGTTTTCAAAGTTTGTACGATATTTCGACCCATGTATTCAATATGTACACAAAATTTAGTATACCTTCTTAGGTATTGTTCTGCTTTTTATGATTGCTCTATATATGCATATGTAGTGTATAATATATAGACAAATACACGCGCAGTTTTTTTTATAAGCCAAAAATTGTATGCAGACCCACAAAAGAAGAGCTTGTCTAAGACCAAGTCCCGACTACAAATACAATTAAGTCTCTTACGTCTAATCCGAGGAGAGCAAACGAATTGTGTTCCAGCGAGCATTATCTATACGACTATACCAAAAAAACAATGATGGAACATTTATTTAAATACGATGATATAATGAGTAAATAAAGATAATGCAAAAGATTGATCCACACTCAAAAATTCACTTCAAACTTTTCTTGTAGATGCATTGGTACGCTGGTGAGCGTTTTGACTAGCAGTTGCGAAAATGTTTAATGAATGGGGCTGACGAATGACGAAACGATTCAAGGGTGAGATTGGACCCTTACGCCCACTAGAGCATAGCTTAGAGCGTTCATATCTTTGCCAACTTTGACACCTCTTTCTGGCTTAGCGTATAATATGAATAAACGGAATCTATGGTCTTTCTTTCATAGATTCCATCCAGACACATAATTTTGGATCTCCATCCAAAAATGACCCGCAATCATACTGAAGCTGGGCAGACCAAAACGGTCAAACGGCCACGTAAACTTGTTGGAAGTCTAATATATAAAATAAGTTTGCTCATTCTTACAGATGTGTGTTTGGTGTCATCCATAATCCAGTCATTGCTAGTACTAGAAGGATCAAAAAGATTTGTTTAAATTGTGTTTATTATTTGGGGGATGTCTTACTATATATATATATATTTATATGCATATTTGTGTATTGTTTATGTTATGCTTAATTGTATAAAGGTTTTACATTTCTGAGCGAGGGAATGGTAACTTTTTGCGGGGCTGACAGGGATATATATGTATGTATGTACGTGGTATTTATGTTAGAGCTTAAAGATAATCATGCATCGAGTTGTCGGTAGATGCAATTTTCTATTATACAGAAGTTTAAAATGTGTGTGAAAGCATAACAAATATTGTACGATAGAGAATATTTATATATAAAACAATTGGGCGAAATGCAAGATGGCAAATTAAAACCAGTTCTTTATTTGCGTCGGGAGCGTGTGGCTCTCTTGGGCGCCTCGTCGGTGCTGGGTGCGGACTCTGCCACGGGCAGAGTGGCCTCGAAGTGCACCTTCTTGGCACGGCCACCGCGTGCTGCCGGAGCTGACGGGCCAGCGGCTTTCGATGATAGAGTCTCCTGCTCTGCCACTGATTCAACAACTGGGGCTGCCTTGGCAGCTCGTGCGCGTCCACGGGCGGCTGGTTTCTTGGCGGCCACAGGCACCACATGCTCCTGTGCAGGTTCTGGCTCGTCGTCGGAGACAATCACCACTGGGGTCTTAGCGCGGGCTCCGCCACGTGCTTTCTTGGTGGCCGGCTGGGCATCTGGGTCTGACTCAGTCCCGACTTTGGCTTTGCGTGCGTTGCCGCGCGCATTCTTTCTGGCTGTTGGCTTTGTCTCGGGCTCGGCCTCCTCCACCTCTGTAGATTCTGCTTGAGTCACTTCCTCGGCCTCGCGACGGGTGCCCCGTCCTTTGGCAGAGGCGGCCGTTGCCATCGCTGGTGTCTCCACTGCAGCTTCTGGGGACTCCTTCACTGGAGGCGCCTCCTCGTGCGTCTCCCCAACGACTGGCTTACCCTTGCGTCGCCTGGGTGTAGCTGGTCTGGGCGTGGTGTCCACAATTAGCTCCAGGGCCTTGACTGTCGGATTCCTCTGGCGTCGGCTGCGGGACGGAGTTGGCTTGTCATCATCGGGGGCTTCTGTGTAGTTCTTCCGCGGCAGATTGCGTCCCTCACGCCTTTGCGACGTTGTGGGATCAGGCAAGGTCACCGTGTTGATCTCTGGGGTGGCCGGGGTTGCTGGGGCTTGCTCTTCGATAAGTTGACCCTTCTGGATGGGTGTTGGCGTTGTTGGAGCCTCCACATCGGGCGTCTTGGGTGCCGCCGACTTGCCACTGGTCACCGGCTTGCGGTTGCGTCGTGATCCAGGGCTGGGCTTGTCATCGTCGGCCACTTCTGTGTAGTTCTTTCGGGGAATATTGCGTCCCTCGCGTCGTCGTGGTGTCAGCTCATCCTCGGTGTGGGAGGGCGAGGAGTGTGCCCCATCGTTGGCCTTCTCTGCAGAGACCAACGCACTTACAGTCACGATTTCTGTGGGCACATCTTCAGTGTGCATATTGAGTTGCGGATCGATGACTTCTTCCTGGGCGGAGGCCTTGTGTCCTCGTCGCGCCGTTGTCTTTTTGGTTTGCGGTGTCCCCTCGTCGACACTCGCTGATGGTTTCCGGACAGCTCGGGCTGGCAGTTTCTTCTCTGTCACAGCCACATCCACATCTACGCTTGGCTTGCGACCTCGTCGTGCTGGCTTTGGTGCTGTTGCTGCTTCCGGGATGACCTCGGGAAGAGGAGCCACCAGTGGTGCACCTTCTGCGCTGTGACGCTTTGGCTTGGGCTCGTCCGTAGCTTCTTCCTCGGACGCCTTGCGGCCGCGTCGCCGAGAGCTGCTTGCCTCCACAGGCTCCTCTGGGATATCCACCGTCTTGGCTGTGGGTTTGCGTCCACGTCGACGCGTTTTGTGCTCCTCCTGCTCCCCCTCCAGCATCAACTTCTTTGGCTCTGGCTCTCGCTCGTCTTCCTCAGGGATTTCCTCCAGGTGTGGGTCCACACGCTCCACCGATGCCATGCGCTTCTTTGCTGCTGGTTCTTTGTCTGCTTTTTGCCCTCGTCGTGCCCTGGGCTTCTCGAGGACATCCGGAGCTGCCAGTTCAACGTCTACAGATGGCTTGCGTCCACGTCGCTTGGGCCTCTCTGCCTGTGCAGCATCTGGCTGATCCTCTTTAGTGGCTGTTGGCTGGCTGGCCTCCTCAGGTTTCAAAGGCTCTGAGGCCTTGCGGGTTCGTTTTAGAGGCTTCATTGGTTCAGCCACAGCTGGTTGATCTTCTTTATTGGGTGCCAGGTGCTCCGGGGGTGCATCGTCCTTTGTGGCCTGCTTCTCTGCAGATGGAGGACGTCCGCGTCGCTTTGATGTCTCAGGCAGAACCTCCTTATGCTCCTCCGGGATAAATTCGGCCGATTTGCGACCTCGCTTTGCGGGCTTCTTTAGCTCAGAGTTCTCTGTTTGATCTTCGTTGATAGGTGCCAAAATCTCATGGGCTTTGGCCTTCTGTAGCTCATCCTTGTCCGCTGATGGAGACCGTCCACGTCGCTTCGCTGTGACAGGCCGCTCTTCTGTATGATGGGTGGTTGCCAGAACCTCTTGGGCTTTGGCCTTCTGTGGCACATCCTTCTCCGCTGATGGAGGCCGTCCACGGCGCTTCGCTGTGACAGGTCGCTCTTCTGTAGTTGCTTCGTTGTCCTTTGTATTCTCTGCCGATGGCTTGCGTCCACGTCGTTTGGGCTTTTCCAGATTGGTTTTAGTTGCCTCCGGCTCTGGGATTGCCTCGTCTACCTCTTTGGACGGCTTTCGACCCCGCTTCTTGACCGTATCCATGTCTGCTTCCTTTTGCTCGATGATCGGTGGTTCCTCGGCGGTCGGTTTGCGGCCCCGCCTCCGTGGCCTCTCCGACTCGATGGTCGCCGCCGTTCTCTCCACGGACGAGCCCTTTCTGGTCACCCTCCTACTGGCGGAAGGCAGTAACTCCTCCTTAGCGGGCGAGTGCACGTCCTTTTGTCTCGGTCCTGTTTCCATTTTTGACTCCTGCTTGGCTGCCGTTTCTACTACCGCCTTCGTCTCGGGTACGATTTCAGCACTGATCTCGGCACCCTCTGAGGCAGATTTCATTTCAGTTGGGGACTTGGTGCTTGGGGCTGCGACTGGAACTTTAGTTTCCACTGCAGGATCAGGAGCACCAGAAGACGAAGGTTGATCCACTGCTGGTGCCTCTGTTGCAGCTTTCACGGGTGTGGCCGTTGCCGTTTGTGTTGGGATTTTTTCCTGCGTAGCGTGGCTCGAGTTTGAGTCGCTCAATTCAATCACAACATCATCCATTTGGACTTTAGAGGGGAACACTGTGGTAGTGGTTTCCCTCCTCTCCACTTGCAGATTCACAGGCTCGGCTTGTTCGAGCAATCCCACAGAATCTTCTTCATCATCCTCATCCTCATCATCTTGGCTAGAAGTTTCGTTCCTTGGGGTTGACTCTGACTGACTGTCGTCTGATATTATTTGAATCTCGTCGCTCGCACTGTGACCTGTAATTGGAGGTCTGTTCTCCAGAATATTTGTAGCATTCGAACCGATTATGGACTGATTTGTGGGCGTCTCATCGATTACTTCTTCAGACTCTGACGTTGAGGAAACTGATTGAATTTCCTCGGTGGATAAAGGTGTGCTTTCGTCATCGATGGAAATTCGAGCATTGGGAATAGGTTCCTTAGAAGACTCTGATCGAATCCCAGCTGTCACCTCATCTTTCTGTGATGTTGACTGAGAGGGTTCCGATAGCTCTTCAATTGCAGCTGGAGGAATGCTTTCCACCACGATGGGTGCTGGTCGAATTGCAGCGAATTTCTCTCCTTTTTCTGGTTCTGGATCCTGTACAGGCTCCTCAACTGCAACTGGAGGTGTGCTTTCCTCAGAGATGGAAGTTGGGGTACTAATGCAAGGTTCCTTGGAGGATTCCACATTAGTCTCTGATGTTTTCTCTTCTCTCTCAGGTGATGATTGAGTCAGTTCCTCCCCAACAGAATTGGGATCAACTTGTGGTTCAAGTTCGCTTTCCGTTTTGGTTTCAGTTTTTTGTTGAATATCCAGCTCTTGTGCTACAGCAATCTTATCTTGGACTATTTGTTCATCTGGAGTTGTTTCCGAAACAGAAGCTTCCTCGGGAGTAGAATCATCTTGAACAGCGGCTACTTCGTTGGTTAGAGTTTCTTCTGGGACGACTTCTGTATCGGATGTGGACTTTTTCTCGCTTTCATTGGGTAGCTCGATGACTGCGGCTGTCGCTGTTGCTTCTGGCTCCTCAGCAGAGACCGCAGCAGTGTTTCCAGAAAGTGAATGCTGAATGTCGGGCATGTGGGTGTCTGCATTGCTCGAAGCATCCACTGGAATTAGTTTGTCTTCGTTTGTCGATTTGTCAATTCTCTGCAATAAAGACTCTTCCGTGGGCAATGTCTCCGTTTCATGGGCTGCGATCTCTTCTTGAACTGCGTCAGGGGCTTCATCGCTTGGTGGCTTGCGAGCTTCTGGATTTTCCTCCACATCTTCAAAAGCGTTGGAGGCATCTAATTGGCTGACTTCTTCGTTCTTTCCGTTCTCCCTAGCAGGTTCTTGCGTTGAGGATTTCTCTGCATCGTTTACGACATCAGGGATATCCATGTGTTTCGATGCTTCCAGAAGGGAAAGCTCTTGTGGTTGTTCGATTAAAGATTCATCGCTTGAAGCAGGTTTCTCGGCAGCTTCAGAAGGCGCTGTTTCCACGTCCTGTCCATTGCTCTGTTGACCTCCACTTGGACTCTTGTTTCTGGTTGTGTTAACTGGCTTTGTATCTTCTTTATTGGCATCACCTTTGATATTTTTATTTGCATATTCTTCGGCTGGTGCTGCTTCAGGCTCCGGCATTTCCTCGACAATGGAAACATCTTCCAAACGGTTTGAGGCATCTAATTGAATAACCTCATCTTCCTCTTTATCCTGCTGTTCCTCAAGTATACTTATATCCTGCGTAAGATCCACTGCAGCTGATTCATCAAGATTAGTTGGTTCCTTTGCTGCGTCAGTTTCCGTGTTGGCGATCTCCACACCAGCTGCAGGCTTATCGTTTGTTTCAGCATTACCAGCCACGTTCAGTGGGGCCACATCGTATTTGTCCTTTTGGGTGGGGCCATTCGTCTGCTGATCCTCAGAGCGAATCTCATCTAGAGTTGTTTCCAATGCAATGGAATCGTCTTGAATCGATTTCATCAAAGATTCCTCTGGAACCTCTTCAATCACAGATTCCTCTGGATCCTTTTCAATCAAAGATTTCTCTGGCACATTTTCAATCAAAGATTCTTCTGGAGCCTCTTCAATCCGAGATTCCTCTGGTACATCTTTAATCATAGCTTCCTCTAGATCCTCTTCAATTAAAGAATCTTCTGGAACAGCTTCAATCAAAGATTCTTCTGGAGCCTCTTCAATCATTGATTCATCTGGTAAATTTTCAATCAAAGATTCCTTAGCAGCTTCTTTAATCAACGATTTTTTTGGATCCTTTTCAATTAAAGATTTCTCTGGTACATCTTCAATCAGAGATACTTCTGGATCATCTTCCTTTAGGGATTGTTCTGGAACTACTTCAATCAAAGAATCATCTGGAACCTCTTCAATCAAAGATACCTCTGGATCCTTTTCAATCAAAGATTCTTCTGGAGCCTCTTCAATCATTGATTCCTCTGGTAAATTTTCAATCAAAGATTTCTTTGCAGCTTCTTCAATCAAAGATTCTTTTGGATCCTTTTCAATCAAAGATTCCTCTGGTACATCTTCAATCAGGGATTTTTCTGGAACCGTTTCAATCAAAGAGTCATCTGGAACCTCTTCAATCAAAGATTCCTCTGGATTCTTTTCAATAAAAGATTCCTCTGGTACATCTTCCATCAAAGATTCTTCTGGAACGTCATCAATCAGGGATTTTTCTGGAACCTCTTCAATCAAAGAGTCATCTGGAACCTCTTCAATCAAAGATTCCTCTGGATTCTTTTCAATCAAAGATTTCTCTGTTACATCGTCAATCAAAGTTTCATCTGGAACCTCTTCAATCAAAGATTCCTCTGGACCCTTTTCAATCAAAGATTTCTCTGGTACATCGTCAATCAAAGATTCATCTGGAACCTCTTCAATCAAAGATTCCTCTGGACCCTTTTCAATCAAAGATTTCTCTGGTACATCGTCAATCAAAGATTCATCTGGAACCTCTTCCTCTGGATTCTTTTCAATCAAATATTGATCTGGTACATCTTCAATCAAAGATTCCTCTGGGGCTACGTGCTCTGAAGATTCTTCGGTTGGATCTGCTTCAGCTTCTTGCGGTCGATCGATGATGGGCTCTTCGTCAACATTTTCTATAATGCTGAACGCATCCAATTGAATTTTCACATCTTCAGGTGGTGTCTCAGCTTCCTCTTGTTGCTCAGCTATGCTGATTTCTTGTGTAATGTCCACTACATTTGAGTCATCTTTCAGGTTATGGTCTTCTGTTGCTGGTGCACTTGAAGACTCTGCAGGAGGCGCTTCGCTTTCTGGTTCTTCAGCAGGTTTAGGCGCACTTGCATCTTCCAATTTTACGGCTCCGTTATCCGTGTTTATAGCCGTTTCATGGGACATCTGAGGATCTTCGGATGTATTTTGAACTGCGTTTACCACAGCGGAAACATGCTTAATATCCTGTTCCTCAGTTCCTTCTACAACCAAAGACAAGTCGGCAGGCGTTTTTTTTGCTTCTGGCGTTTGCTCAATGACATCCAAACTATTTTCAACTGGAGATTCTAAACAAGTTACTTTCTCCTGTTCGTCTGTGTCTCTACCTGAATCCTCTGGAGCCTGCTGGATGCGTAATTTCTTCTCTGAAGGCTCTTCCACTGGTTCCCTTTGAGTGCACTCGTCCGTGGTGCTTTCTTCTAGCAAATCATTGGCTGACGATTCGACCTCGACCTCTGACTTTTCAGCTGCTCTCTCCTCTTTCAACTCACTGGGTGACGATGCTGCATCTTCTGTTACTCCAGGTGTGGAAGCTGGAACTTCCTTATTAGCCACTAGAGTAGCCGCTGATTCCCGCTGATCTACCGAGCTACAGCTTGTGACATTCAATTCAATGGCCGAATACTCGATTGTAGAGTCCAGAGGATAGGTCTCAGATTCCGGGTTTGTCGCCTCCACAACAGAAGAGGCATCCGTTTCTTTAGCCTGTGCTGGTTCTTGGTTTTCGCTGGATTTTCTGGCATTGATGCTGCTTTCAGCCGTGATATCTTGTACTTCAATCAAAGAAATCTCATCAACTGAAGACTGAACAGTTTGTGTGACGTCTCCAATGGATTCCTCGACAGACTTGGGCATCTCTTTGCCATTTGTATCGGATGCGTCTGTGGCAGCGTATTCGATGGGATCTTCATTGGATCTACCGCTGATTTCTTCCTTCTTTGCTTCTGCGATTGTCCCTTGCAGTGCAGAATCCTCATCATCGCTGAATACCAAGGGCTCACTCAGGCCAATCATTGAGTCAGTGTCAGAGCGATCATCATTCGGGATCGGGACAGATGGTGAACGAATGGGCTGAACCTTTGTCTCCTCCACGGTCACGCCAGCCGAGACAACAGCAGACACTATGGGAGGATCTGAGAACATCGAGTCCGAGGTCTGATCCAGCCGCTGTATGCCGCTTATTTCGTTGACGCTTGGCGATGTGGGCCTGGAGGGATCATTTCCCTCCTCAGTCAGGGTGCTAAGCTCCAGGTCCGCCCTGATGGCAGCCTTGTATGTGGTGCTGGTCGTCGCAGTCTTGCTGTATGTCGGCGCCGAACTCAAATTCATCAGACCCTCCGACGAGACCGAATCGTTCTGCTTGGAGACAGCCAGGGGATCGGCATCAGTCGCCGTGCTCACGGTCGTCACATTGATTTCGGTTTCAGTGTCCTCTGCGTGTGCAACGGACGTGCTGGGGACATCGTTAAATATATTGTCCAAGGGCAGGGTGAGCCCTCCAACGCTCAAATCGTACCTTAACACCACCGAGTCCCTGGTGTAATCCTTGCGAGAGTGCAACACCGTACTGGCTGGCTCATTGGGTACCATAATATTCTTGGCGCTGGGTGTCTTCAGAATCTTGGCGAGATCCGTGCCCTCCGCATCTTCCGCTGGTCCTCTCCGCCTGCTCCTGCGGGGTGTCTGTGAGACACTGTCAGAGGCCTCCAACAGCTCCTCAATGTTGCCCAGAATGGGCGAAGCAGGCATCCTGGGTGTTTGCATCAGTTCCCGCAATCCCTTGAACAGCGGCGTGCTGCAGTTTTTGGGGGTCTTTAGCATATCTCTCAGGCCGTGGTAGTCCACATTGTCGGGCTCATCCATGGCCAGTTCTGTGCCATAATCTTCATCTTCAGTGGCCGCCTTTTCTTCTGTAACAAAGCATACACCTTCGATATAAATAATCCCAAATACTGGCCTAGATTTCAGCTTACCATCTGCCGGGGCAGTTTCCTCCACAATAACGCCCATATCGCCGACAGATTCATCGACTAAATTGGCTCGCTTGGGCGTGTTTAGCAGTCGCTTTGACTTCCTGGTTGGCGTGCCCATGTCCTCGGTCAGGCGACGCTTTCGCGTGGGCGTAGCCAAGGCCTGGGTATCAACTGATGAGAATGAGGCGCGTCGCGTGCGTTGACTGATTCCAGCCTGTTCGCTGTTGACTTCGACAGAAGCGCGGCGAGTGCTGCGTCGCGGAGTAGTGGCCACAATTCTCTGGTCAGCGGAGAGACGGCGCGAACTCCTTCGAGGCAGGGGTACAGCTTCTTTTTCCATTCCCTTAACCGGCTGCTCAACTGGCGAGGGTTTTACAGCGGAAGCTTCGTTCTCTTTATTTGTTTCCGAATTCTCCGAAGACTCTGAAATTCAAGGCTTGACTCGATTCCATCTCAAATATAACTCATGACTTACCTTCCACCTGAGCTTTCGGATCTGTGGGCACCTCTTCGCAAATGCTGTCCTCAATTACAACCGCACCTGAGGGAAATAAAGAAAAGAATTTTAGGCTTTAAGAACTGAAATTCGACTCAAAGATTCCTTTTTCCCCACTTACCTTCGTTTTCGATTTTCTCGGGCACATCTACGTGAACCTCTTCACATATGCTATCATCGATGATGCGAATCTCCTCCACTGGATCACTGGAGACTGGTGAATCTACCGGTGGACCCTTTAAACTGTCTTCCATGACATTTGCTGCCTTTGGCTCTGCTACGCATTCGTCATCATCATCATCCTTGATGGTAAAAGTGCGGCTCAGTTCATCTTCGGAATCGTCAAGTTTCTCCGGGGTGGAGCACTTGTTTTTAGATACATTTAATGCCTTCTCATCGACTTCGCTCACTTGTAGCATCAATCGGTTGATGGGCGAGGCTGGCTTAGGCGATTCATGCCTGGGTGACCCTATCCTGGGTGACCCTGGCTTGGGGGAACCGTCCCTGGGCGAGTTACAGAGAGAGCGTCGAGCCTTGGCCACCAACTTGTTGCTCCTTTCCACATTGGGACTGCGCCTGGCCACCGCCAGGGACTTTCTCATTTGCGAAAGTTTGTTCTCCCGGGGACTGACAAAGAACAGAGACGGTCGCTTGCGAGGCGAGGTACTGGGTGTCTTGGCTTTCGCCTGATCTGCGGCTCGTTGGGCAGGGGTACGTTTCTGTGGATGGAAGGGCAGGCGACGGGGCGTGGTAAGGCACTGACGACGCGCCTCCAACATAGATGTTCGCTTGGAGATGCCCACAGGTGTGGTTGCCTCCACACGATTGGCAGCAATCTGCTTCTTGGTGCTCGTCAGAAGAGCCCGTTTCATTAGAGATTGTGGCGTCCGTTTGGGGGTAGCGCCAGCCGCCAGTCGCTTCGGTGTCTTGGGCACTTGACGCGACGACGCTGGAGATGGCGGCGTTTCCGATTTGGTAATGTCGATGACGAGCGGAGAGACATCTGATGATTCATCGGCGCTGTCGGACACACTGATGGGCGTCTGCTTGATCGTCAGACGCAGCTTTTGTGGTGTTGTTAGGTCGATGAGATGCATGGAGGTCTCCCGTCGGGCCTTCTGCGATGTGGATGGTGTGCTGAAGTCGAGCAGATCTCGACTGCAGCTGTCCTCATTCAGCTCCGATAGCACACTCTTCGGCGTGCTGTAGACGCTCTTGGGCGTGGAGACTGTCGCCGTGTTGGGTTTTCGGATACATGTAAATGACTTCTCCGTCTTGACGCCAGTTTCTCGGGGGGAAAACGAGGTGATGACCACATCGGAGAGAGCGCAGAGCTTCAGTAGTTTCTTGTGACTGGCTGGTGGGGTGGCTGTGTTCTCTTTGTTTTGCGTGGCATCCAAAAGATCAACTTTCGGACTCTGGCACGCTGTTGCCGCCGGCTCGTCGTCTGCATTTGGCGGCGTCTTGCAGCGTTGGCTCTCATCGGCCTCTACATGGGCATCGCTTTGGTCACGCGACTCTATCGACGTGTTGCCGTCGTCATCCGAATTGATGCAGTAGCGAAAGCTGCAAAGGAACACATTGATGAGGATTATTTTTAGGGGAAATTTTAGCGCAATCAAATCCACATATGTAGGAGACAGACACAAAAACACACACACGAGCACGCACACATGCGGAGAGAGATGGAGGATATTTTAGGGTTGGTCTTCGTCTACCTGAGTGACAGCCTGCCCTCCCAGACGGGTCTCACTTACTTGTGCACGGTCAAACGCTTGTCGATCTGAGGACGATGGGAATGCAACTGTAAAGCAAGAGGGAAGATAAGGGAAAGTGCGTCTTGAGAAACTGTACTTGGCATATGCACATATGCGGCCTCTGCCGATGCTCCAAATAGGGAGACATACCTTCAGGGATGGGCAGGAGTTGGAGACCTGCTCAATGGGCGACAGACGTTCCGGCGTGCGCGGCACATCCTCCGCCTCGGAGATCTTGGGGAACTCCCAAGTGTAGACCTTATTGAGTATGGTTATGCGTGCGCCATGCAGCAGCGGCCGCTTGCCAGTGACAATCTTGTCGTTCAGTTGGATGGGCTGCTTGCTCGATTTGTTGTTGATGGTTACCTGGGGACGAGCACATGCTGTTGATAGGGCAAATCAATGCACTCCCCCACCCTCTCTACTTACCCTGCCGAAGGCGTCGCATTTAATTTCGCATATCACCTCCTCCACCTGGGGCCCTTCCAGGACCAGGTCACAGCTCAGATACGAGCCCACTTGGAAGGTACGTCCCTTGGCCGCCAAAATCACGGGCAAGCCGCTTTCGTCCACATACCGCAGTTTAGCGCCATCCAGAGACATTTTGTTGCAAATTCTCGGCAGGGCCGCAAAAGTAGGAGAGGAGTGTGAGTGGCGCAACTTTGGCTTGGGCTTGGGTGCAAAAAAAAAACCAAACGAAAAGAAGCCGCGCCGCGGAGAAACTTGACGAGTCGCGGTTGACTAATTGGTACACTTTTCACACAACTATGATGGTTCCCGCGGCATTACGATATCATATTTATTATCTTTTGTATTTTAACGACGCAACCACGCAAAACTCTGTGCAGGAATTTTTTTTGCAATGGACGCGCAAGAGCGGCATGCCAACCTAATGCAATTGCGCCAATGTAGGCGTTAAGTTCGAAATTGATTACCAACTGACTGCCAACTCGCTCAAATTCATTTTTAGGCTGAAAAATATACCACAAAAGCCTCAAAAATATACCATTTCATTTTATTAATATACCGTAATTAAAGCAAAATGTCAACAACTTAGACTTAAAACACTAAAAATGTCCTGGCTGATAAGTCGAAAATCAGAAACCACTTTGGAAAACAAAATTCGCCTCTACAAATCCATACTGAAGCCTGTTTGGACCTACGCTATACAGCTTTGGGGAACTGCTAGCAACTCAAATATTGAAATACTTCAGCGTTACCAATCAAAAACTTTGCGACAAATTGTCAATGCTCCGTTTTACGTATCTAATGCAAACATCCACAAAGATCTGAATATTCCAACCATTAAAGAAGAAATAAAGAAAACTAGTAAGAAATACATCGACAGACTCCACAACCACGAAAATAATTTAGCCTTAAGTCTATTAGACAATAGCCTAACAGTAAGAAGACTGAAAAGATACCACATTCTCGATATCCCTGATAGATAAATTTAACAAACTAAAAAGATGTTATATATAATAGCAGGGCTCATTGGAAAACTGCTATTTCTGTTAATTGAATATTAATTATACAATTTACTTATTGTTTAAAAACAGATTGTAAATATAAAGAGAGAGAAAAAAAAAAAAAAAAAAAAAAAAAAAAAAATTTTNGGAAAATTAGAATAAACTCCCTGAAATCCGTCCAAATAACGTTTTCATTAAGACCAGGTAACTGCCCAAATGTTACACTTAACGGCTCACCAATTCCACAAAGTACCTGTGTGAAGTATCTCGGCTTGCATCTCGACCGCAGATTAACATGGAAAAACCACATTAAAGCAAAATGTCAACAACTTAGACTTAAAACACTAAAAATGTCCTGGCTGATAAGTCGAAAATCAGAAACCACTTTGGAAAACAAAATTCGCCTCTACAAATCCATACTGAAGCCTGTTTGGACCTACGCTATACAGCTTTGGGGAACTGCTAGCAACTCAAATATTGAAATACTTCAGCGTTACCAATCAAAAACTTTGCGACAAATTGTCAATGCTCCGTTTTACGTATCTAATGCAAACATCCACAAAGATCTGAATATTCCAACCATTAAAGAAGAAATAAAGAAAACTAGTAAGAAATACATCGACAGACTCCACAACCACGAAAATAATTTAGCCTTAAGTCTATTAGACAATAGCCTAACAGTAAGAAGACTGAAAAGATACCACATTCTCGATATCCCTGATAGATAAATTTAACAAACTAAAAAGATGTTATATATAATAGCAGGGCTCATTGGAAAACTGCTATTTCTGTTAATTGAATATTAATTATACAATTTACTTATTGTTTAAAAACAGATTGTAAATATAAAGAGAGAGAAAAAAAAAAAAAAAAAAAAAAAAAAAAAAAAAAAAAAAAAAAAAAAAAAAAAAAAAAAAAAAAAAAAAAATATTCCTCGATTTTGATGTTCTATTTGATGTTACTAGCTAGACAAGAGTCTCAGCGTTAATGCTATAATTTTATCTGATTTATCAATCAATTCTCCACAATATTGGTAAGTTTTCGCGACTTTATTTTCTTGCATAAAACGTTACGTAGGTGGGAATGGAATGTTGTTGCTTGTCAACTGGTAGGTTGGGCATTTTTATACCCTATTTCCATTAATTAATATTAAAATTCCGTTTTCTCACCTGCTTTAAAACATTAAGATTAAGTTAGATTTTTTAGACTGGATAACTCTTTGGTGAACCAAGGAGGTTTCGCAGATCTAGTCGGACATGAAAGTGGGACACACGTGTCAAAAATATGTAAACTGTAAACAAGATTTACAACATTCAGCTGGTCTGTTAGTTTAGTGTGCTTACACTGGAGCTGCGTATTTGCGTCCAGAATATATATATATATATATACTAGATGGTTACTTCTCTTATAATGTGTATATGGTCACACGCATAATTTGTACCAGCTATCGATATCAGGGAGACGAAGTAGTGTTGGAAACTCTGCGAATATCATCGAAAAGCCGGAATAAAACAAAAGGAAAAAATTACAGCAAAAACCAATAAATTACAAATTCAGCATTAAAAAATGGATGTTGATGCTGCACAAAAGACTTGGGAGCTGGAGAACAACATACAGACTCTGCCCAGCTGTGATGAAATCTTTCGCTATGATGCCGAACAGCAGCGTCAAATTATCGACGCCAAGCCCTGGGAAAAAGATCCACATTTCTTTAAAGACATCAAGATTTCAGCTCTCGCGCTGCTCAAGATAGTCATGCACGCCCGCTCCGGAGGCACACTCGAAGTTATGGGCCTAATGCTCGGCAAGGTTGAGGATAACACAATGGTGAGTAGACAAAACCTCTCTGTAACCTCTCACGCTGAGCGCTTCATTTGCCGGCAGATTGTGATGGACGCGTTTGCCTTGCCGGTGGAGGGCACCGAGACACGCGTGAATGCCCAGGCCCAGGCCTATGAGTACATGACTGCCTACATGGAGGCCGCCAAAGAGGTGGGCCGCATGGAGCATGCCGTCGGCTGGTACCACAGCCACCCCGGCTACGGCTGCTGGCTGTCTGGCATCGATGTATCCACACAGATGCTCAACCAGACCTACCAGGAGCCGTTCGTGGCCATTGTGGTCGATCCTGTGCGCACTGTCTCTGCTGGCAAGGTTTGCCTGGGCGCCTTCCGCACCTACCCAAAGGGCTATAAGCCACCAAACGAGGAGCCATCCGAATATCAGACCATACCATTGAACAAGATTGAGGATTTCGGCGTGCACTGCAAGCAGTACTATCCGCTCGAGATTAGCTACTTCAAGTCGGCTCTGGACCGCAAACTGCTGGACTCCTTGTGGAACAAGTACTGGGTGAACACTCTGGGTAGCTCTGGTCTGCTGACCAACACGGAATACACCACTGGCCAAATAATGGATCTGTCCGAGAAGCTGGAGCAGAGTGAAAACTTTCTGGGTCGCGGTAAATGTCGAACGCAAAGGCTACCTTGAGCTTTCTAATAACCAACTTCTTTGCTTCACAGGCACCGACGTCAACGAGAAACGCTCCGAGGACAAGCTATCCAAAGCTACGCGCGACTGCAGCCGCTCCACAATTGAGTTAATACACGGCCTGATGGCGCAGATAGTCAAGGACAAGCTCTTCAATAAGGTGGGCCTGGGCAAATAGGTCCTCTCCTGCAGTAGAATATTATAAAATACGAAACTAAAATGCGATATTGATTTCCAAATACACCGAGTGAATTTTCTAAAGCCAAGAGCGATTTAGATGTTCTAAAAATAAGTCAAGAAACTGGAATGCCAGCGCACAGAACTATTCCTTAATTATTTTGGTATGCCGTTATTTGGACATCAGCAGCGAAGGCATTGTCTACTCATCAATCAATTGGTTTCATCATTTATATCGTTAGGCGTATTTTATATCTTTTACTCCTCGATTGCGTGTCTGTCAAAAGCCGGGACTGCCTGCTGCATAGCCACTGCATACCGGTTCTGCCATAAGTGAAGTGTCAACGCTCTCCCTGCACATGGCCCAATCAATTTCGTTGACTAGAGTGGTGTCTTGGCCGCTAATTAAATACGTTGTCACGTTTATAGCCTGGGGCTCTTGGATATCATCCCCCAGCACCAGATGTCTGCAATGCAAAAACCAAGCTCTTCAGTAAAGTAAACGCTCGATAGAAGCAGCAAGATAGAACGAAATACATATAAGTCAAGTTTGTACTTCAGGTCCAACTTTTTTTTTGTATTTCTAGATCGGCATAATTTTGTAGTGAAAGAAAAGAAAAAAGGCTAAAAATTATGTCCTTAGATAAAAATGTTCACATCGAGAGTTCACTGTATTTTTCCCTCTGTCTTTCTCCAACCATATTTAACCGTTATCATCACTCTCACAATCCTGGCGTCCCACCATTAAAATGTTAAACATGTGTGTGTGTGTGTGTGTGTGTGTGTGTGCGTTCGTAGGTGTTTCTCTGTGTTTGCTATACACCCATAAATCCCGTTGGCCCAAGTACTACAATAAACAATGCAAGCGAATATATCTGAGGGAATTTTTTGAATCCTCTTAAAACTGTCATAAAAGCAAATGTAAATTGCGGCATTAGACAAACCAGAGAATCCGACATCAAAAGCAAACAAATTCCAAGGAAAATTACATCGCAAACCATTCCCCAAATCGATTCTAAGGCACAAAATGTGGTTGGAATGCGCTTTGTGCGTGTGAATTATTGTTATAAAAGCCATAAACTAGGGGAAAATACTTCATTTTTTGATACTTTATCGAAATGCGACCGTCAATTGGAATCAGCAAGGAGCAATGACATGAAATGTAATACTGCCCGACTAGAAAAGGGAGTAAGTGCGGTTTAAGCGGGGACTACTAAGTGGGGTAGAGTGAGAGTGCAAGTACTTTGAGTGCCAGTTGACTATAAAAGAGCTGGAGCCCAACGGTAGACGTTTCATTCGCACACACAGTGCCAGCGGAGAAGCGTTAATGTTGCAGTACAACAGAACACCATCCACAAGGTCCAAAGTCCGAAGCCATATCATCCCATCCCACTCCACTGCACCCACACACGACAGCATCCACCAGCAGTGAAGCAGAACAACGGAATTAAAGTCAACGGAAAAAGGCAGAGGACGAGCGAAGCGACTAAAGGAATAATGAAAAAATTGTCGTCTCTGCGGTATTGCGTGTGTGTTCGTGTGTAAAGGCAGCCTGCTTGGTCGCGCTCGTGTGTGTTAAATTGAATTTCCTTGAAATTACAAACTAAATAAGTCTCAGATGTTGACAGAGGCAATTGCATGCTAAAACGGAAATAAAAGATAAACTAAGCAGCGTTTAAAACAGAACTTTTGAGGAGTTTTAAAGTGAAGCATTAAAGTAGGAACGGGACCTGTTGAACAAGGTAAAAGGTAATAGAGAAAGTTGTGAAACAAAATTAAAACAAGATACAGTGCAGTGATGGTCAAATCTTTCTTATATTTTATTCTCGTTTCCTATTACAGGAACTCCGTCATGTATGGCATGCTCTATGAGAGTGTCCAGCACTATGTGCAGGAGGAGTACGGCGTAGACGTCTGGAAGAAGGTCTGTCACATCATCGACTGCAAACACAACAGCTTCAAGACCCACCAGATCTATCCGGACAAGCTGATGCCGGACTTTGCCGCCGCACTGTCCGCCTGCAGCGGCGAGTCCTTCGACTTCTGCATGAACTTCTTTGGGAAATGCTTCGTGAGGTTCTTCAGCAACTTTGGCTACGACAAAATGATTCGCTCCACGGGTCGATATTTCTGCGACTTTCTGCAGTCCATCGACAACATTCACCTGATCATGCGGTTCACCTATCCCAAGATGAAGTCCCCGAGCATGCAGCTGACCAGCATGGACGACAAGGGGGCCGTCATTCTCTATCGAAGCAGCAGGACGGGCATGTCCAAGTACCTCATTGGCCAGATGACGGAGGTGGCGCAGGAGTTTTATGGCCTGCCGATCAAGGCGTATGTAATCGAGAGCCAAAACGACATCAGCGGCGGTACGGCGGGTCCCATCAAGCTGACGGAGGGTCCGCTCACTGTCATCGTGAAGTATCGCCTGGACTTCGACAACTCCGAGTACATGGCCAAGCGTGTGAATACGGAGGCGCATCCCTCGCAGCTGAAGATGCCCACGGTGAAGCTGGACGTTTTCCTGGACCTTTTCCCCTTCACCTTTGTCCTGAACCACAGCATGAAGATTACGCATGCCGGGGAAAAGATTGTTGAGACATGGATAATGCACAATCCTGGGGCTAATCTCAAGGGCTTTATTGGCACTCACGTGATGGATCTGTTCCACTGTCGACGCCCCAAGGACACCAAAATCGATTGGGACACACTGATCCAGATGCGAGCGGTGCTGTTCGAGTTCGAGCTGATCCGCACGGGGCATAATCGGGATGCCTACGACGCAGCCCTGAACATGGACTTCGAGAACTACGACGAAATGGATCTGAATGAGGCCCAGAGCATGGCCCTCACCAAGGCCAAGGAGTTCAATGACGCACACCCGGCCGATGCGGAGCTTACTGCTCAAGAGGACGAAATCGATCCGGCCACCGGAGAACGTCGCTCCTCCCAGGGCCTGAAATCTATTCTACTAAAAGGTCAGATGTTCTACATCAAGGACGTGGACTCGCTGATATTCCTGTGCAGTCCGTTGATCGAGAATCTGGATGAGTTGCACGCCATTGGTCTGTACCTGAACGATCTCAATCCGCACGGCCTCAGCAGGGAGCTGGTCATGGCAGGCTGGCAGCACTGCTCCAAGCTGGAGATCATGTTCGAGAAGGAGGAGCAGCGGTCCGACGAACTGGAGAAGTCCCTGGAGCTGGCCGACTCCTGGAAACGTCAGGGTGATGATCTGCTCTATTCCATGATCCCTCGGCCCATTGCCGAACGAATGAGGAACAGCCAGGAGCAGGTGTGTCAGAGCTTCGAGGAGGTCTCCGTCATCTTTATAGAGGTGCTGAATGTCTACGACGGCGGCTTGAACAGCATTCAGGGAGCCATGATGGCAGTGAACACGCTGAACAAGGTCTTCTCGGCTCTCGATGAGGAAATCATTTCTCCGTTCGTCTACAAGGTGGAGACCGTGGGCATGGTCTACATGGCCGTGTCCGGAGCACCGGATGTCAATCCCTTGCATGCGCAGCACGCATGTGATATGGCCCTGCGTGTGATGAAGAAGTTCGATCCCAAGGAAATGGGCGATGTGGCTCTTCGCGTGGGTATCAACTCGGGGCCCGTGGTAGCAGGAGTCGTTGGCCAGAAGGTGCCACGATATTGTCTGTTTGGGGATACGGTCAACACGGCCTCCCGCATGGAGAGCAGCAGCGATCCCTGGAAGATTCAACTGTCCAAATACACCGCAGATAAAGTGAGCGAACTTGGCTACAAGGTCGTGTCCCGCGGCACTGTGAAGGTCAAGGGCAAGGGCGAAATGGAGACCTATTGGCTGCTCGAGGGACCAGAGGACTAACGGATTAAACGGAGATTAAACAAAAAATTCTGTTAGATTTAATGTTGAACAACTGCACCAAAAATATTATACCACACTTGAGGCTTCTGAAAATATTTTCAATAAAATAAAAAGAGAATTTCCCTCCTTCTACGTTGAGTTTTATTGGAAGACTTTCAGATATCCCATCTGAGGTCGCAGCCCCTTGTTTTAGAACACTCGTAAATGGTAATTTAGTCAAGAACCGCTTTCCTCTTGCACGAACATTCAACTGAAGAGGGTCTCGTATCGGCGCTCATTCCCACCAGACAACTTTCATTACCAAATATCCTTTTTTAATAACTTTTATGGAGAGTTTGCGTGTCGCCTGGCACACCATCCATAACTAGCCACTCAGGCAATCATTGGACACTGCACTGAGAACAAAAAGATAATCTTGGAGAGGCTCCCTTAATGAGAGTTAATAAATAAATAATAGATAATAGAGAAAATAAAGCCATTTGGCCACTTGCATCAGTAGAAGTTCCTTACAGAAAGTTTCCTTCTAGAAAAAAAAAACCAAAAAGATACCCAGTTGTAGGAAGTTTTTTCAGGAATTAATATTCAAAGTGAGAGAATTTCTACCTCTAAAATGGAGAGTGAGAGTAAGGCAAGACTAACACACAGCGAGGAAAGAATTGAAGTACCGGATAAAATGGCCAACTAAATCAAGTAGATCTTGAAGGAAACTTCAAGCAAGAACTGCTTGAACCTATAGTAATTTCTCCAAGTGTGTTCACGTTCTTGGCTTCTGGAGTTTCGTTCCGAAATTAAATTAAGCCATTTTGCGTGTAGCGCAAGTGTCGGTGCCCAAGTGTCGGTACGCTTGCCAATTAATTCTCGCCCAATAATGACAATGACCAATCGCACCGGGACACAGGACTAATTAAGTTCTGTATTTTGGCTAAATTAAGCGACACAACTTGATATCCTTTTCGTATTTAGTTTTAGCTCTGTTTCCCATTGTAATCGCCCCTTTCCTGTGCGTTATTAATGACATTTTGAGTAGGTTTAAAGCATTTCCAACATGGGTTCCGTTCCGTGTCCGTGGCTCTGACATCCAGCAGAGATGGTTGGTCGATGGCCCATGTCCTCGCATATTATCTTCACTCTTTGCCCATAAAATTGTCAACGCCAATTTGAAAAGCACTCCGGGAAATCCGTTTCGGTTAAGTAGGACAAAGGTTGGGTTGCGATCCTGCGCTGCTCTGGGGGGAGCCGAAATCCCCTTTAAATGGCTTTAAAACACAACATCAAATATGTAGCAAGGGCACACACACACACACGTATGGATGAACGTATGTATGTATTTATTGCAAAAGTATGCGTGAAAATGGAATGGTATTAGGAAGAGCAGCCCCACCCCCATAGCCACCCATCCAGCGACTGGGGGAATAGGGAAAATGCCAAGGAAGAAGCAAAAGGCTACGACAATGATACATTTGACGAGCAGTTAAAAGCGAGCACTCCCAGGGCTGGCAGATTGTCGAGAAAATTCCTGCATAAATAAAGGAATGGATAGAGTAAGATTACGAAAAAGTATACCACAAAACATATTCGAAATTACAGAATAAAATTAGATTTGTAGGTGTTTAAAAGTTATTTCTTTCAAGTGCAGTTCCTCCTGATAACCGAGAACACTGTATATATTCCTGTGTAACATTACCCATTGAAGTACGAGCAAGTATTACCCAGCCCTGTGAGAACATTTCAAGTGTAACGAAAAGGAGTCGGTCCGATCCAAAGAACAATATTTTGCACGGAATGCCAAGAACGCGAGCACGTATTCGGTGCTTATTGTGTGTGTACCATAAAAGGAATGAACAGAGAGAAAAATGACTCCTTTGGCAGTGTGTCAATGTTGATACAATATCGAGAAAGAGAGAGACAGTGGCAGTTGACATAGGACGGAGACCCAGAGGCCCGAAGCCAAAGAGCATTGACTGGCGATGTCCATAATGATGATGATGATGATGGTCAAACAGAGATGTGCGTGTCGAGGCGCAAACACGGAGGTCGTAAGTGGCCCGGAAACATCCATCCAACAGGAGTCTGGCTTCGGTGGGGAGGGTACTATAAAAGGACAGACCGCCAACGATGCACGCTTCATTCGCACGACGACCGCCAGTCTGATTGCCGGCTACGAGAAATACACTTCGCACGACGACGCCGACGCCGACACCGACTCCGGCCCAGACTCACGAAGAGGAAACCATGGAGCAAATCACACGGCAAAAGCCAAAGAAACAGCGACAGGCGGCCAAACAAATTTAGTGTAACAATAGCAACAGACGGCGACGGAACACGGCCCCAGAGACAGGGAGAGAGAAAGAGCTCCACCAAAATAAAACATACATACATATAATTCGAGTGCTAACGTGTCCGGGAGGAGGCTGCTGTGTGTGAGCATATGCCCCAAAAAGTGTTTGCCGTGAGTTTCCCTAAATTATAAATAAGCGAAAAGCAAATGCCGAGTGTATAAAATTAAAACTTCAGTTATAACAGTGGATGTGCGGAGCAAAACTTGAATATTTGTGCAACATCTGATGGCGATTTAATCAACAGGAAAAGGGCAAAAAGGCAATCTAAAGCAAGCCGGATTAGTACGGATTGAATATGCTAAATTCACAGGCATCTCGTGGGATCGGTTTATCGGGGAAATCAACAATGTTTAAGTGGAAATTAATTTTTCATTGGGTTGCCAATCTTTAAGCATAGCAGAGGACATAGATCGTTAAATATGTACAGAAAGATTATCTCAAAGTTGACCCTTTACTTTGGGTCTCTAATTTATAATTGAATTCATTTTTGTCACCTACTTTTGGAAGGGTTTTTTTCTTTGTGGCAGATGAAGCAAATTAGTTGTCGAGGTATGAATAATCGAATCATAGTCGTTTTTCAACCCTTGTAAATTTACTGAATTATGAGTAAATTTATTGGAATTTTATTAGAAGATAAAACATAATTTATGTAGAAAAACAATTGTTTTATTTTGGCAGGAGACATCCTGGAAATCAACTCATTTTCCTATGGCTTTTGTGTTTATTTATGCGAATAGTAAGAATACTATTGACAGAAACAAGTGCTTCCGTTTTAATCAATTTTCATTTGTCATTTAATATCCTCAAACATTAATCAAACGCCACCATTTTCCCATATTTCTTTGCACTGCAAAGCAAAGAATTTGTATATATATTTTTTACGACTCTTTGCCTAAGAGAAATTTGCATGTTTTGGTCAAAATTGAATACACAAACTCCCGAAAGATGTTTGAGAATTTATGGCCCCACAGTAAGTTTAACCTACGACCTGCCCGCTGGGGCTTGGGGGCGGCAGAATTGAAAAGAAGTCACCGCAAGCAACATGGCGAATTAACGGCAACAAAAAGCCAACGGAAATAAGTCAGGGGACAACGAGTTTTGGCAAGGACGTGACAAGCACTGCGGAACATGAGTAAAAGTCTCTGAGGCGGCGCGTGCCAAATTAAACCATAGAGGCAATAAATCAAAAGACAAGGATAAGGCATAGGCAAAGGCAATATGAAGGCAGGCTTAACCTTCCCTGGGGCCTGTTGTGGAGTAGATCCGAGGCGGCTGCAATTATTCATTTTTCTGGAATATGTTACTTTATGTACTCTAAAATCCAAGTCAATTTAACGCCTGATGGTTTTATTTGATGGTTTATGGGATAGCCACGGGCCCGAGCACTCACTTAATCCCTCATCAATCACTAGAGCCTTATCTTCGTTGGCTAATCCCTGACCTGACACACTTTCCCCATATCTGCCTTGGGGCCGACTTCACCTAATTACCAGCAGTGCATAATGGAAAAACTTTGTTATCCTAATTATGTGCTTCTAAACTTTTCTTCATTGCAGAGCAACTTTTTGCCCAAGCAATTTGTGTGACTGACAGACCCCCCAACTGGCCAAACCCCCATTAACCATCCCCCAGGAGCGATCCACACAGCCGCCAGCATGTATGGGATGCTGTACGAGAGCGTCCAGCACTACATCCAGAAGGAGTATGGGGTGGAGATGTGGAAGAAGATCTGCCAAATAGTCGACTGCAAGCACAACAGCTTCAAGACCCACCAGATCTATCCGGACAAGATGATGCCGGACTTTGCCGCCGCACTCTCCGCCTGCAGCGGCGAGTCCTTCGACTTCTGCATGAACTTCTTTGGGAAATGCTTCGTGAGGTTCTTCACCAACTTTGGCTACGACAAAATGATTCGCTCCACGGGCCGATACTTCTGCGACTTTCTGCAGTCCATCGACAACATTCATCTCCAGATGCGGTTCACATATCCCAAGATGAAGTCGCCAAGCATGCAGCTGACCAACATGGACGACAATGGAGCTGTCATCTTGTATCGCAGTGGGCGAACGGGCATGTCCAAGTACCTCATTGGGCAGATGACGGAGGTGGCCAAAGAGTTCTATGGCCTGGATATGACAGCGTATGTGCTGGAGAGCCAGAACGACATTTGCGGAGGGACGGCGGGTCCCATCAAGCTGTCGGACGGTCCGATGACGGTTATTGTCAAGTACCGCCTGGACTTTGACAACCGCGACTATATGGCCAAGAGAGTGAACGTCGTGGCCCATCCTTCGCAGCTGAAGATGCCATCGGTGGACTTGAACGTGTTCTTGGAGCTGTTCCCCTTCACGATCGTGCTGAACCACGACATGAAGATAACTCTCGCTGGCGAGAAGATCATCGAAACGTGGATACTGCACAATCCGGGTGTGAATCCAAAGAGCTTCATCGGCAGTCATATCTTGGAGCTGTTCAAGTGCCGCCGGCCCAAGGACACAAAGATCGAGTGGGAGACCATTCTCCAGATGCGAACGGTTCTCTTCGAGTTTGAGCTCATCCGCACTGGCCACAATCGTGCCGCATACGATGCAGCCCTTAACTTTGACTACGACACCTTGGACGATGCCAGCCTCAATGAGGCCCAGGCCATGGCCCTGGCCAGTGCCCAGGAGTTCAGTGTGGAGCACGCCAAGGACGACGAGGCTGCTGCTGCCGCCACGAAGGATGAAATCGATCCAGCCACGGGACAGCGTCGTCCCTCAGTGGGCCTCCGATCCATCCTGCTCAAGGGTCAGATGTTCTACATCAAGGACGTGGACTCGCTGATATTCCTGTGCAGTCCGTTGATCGAGAATCTGGATGAACTGCACGGCATCGGTCTGTACCTGAACGATCTCAATCCGCACGGCCTCAGCAGGGAGCTGGTCATGGCTGGCTGGCAGCACTGCTCCAAGCTGGAAATCTTGTTCGAGAAGGAGGAGCAGCGGTCCGACGAACTGGAGAAGTCCCTGGAGCTGGCCGACTCCTGGAAACGTCAGGGTGATGATCTGCTCTATTCCATGATCCCTCGGCCCATTGCCGAGCGTATGAGGAAGAGTGAGGAACACGTCTGCCAGAGCTTCGAGGAGGTCTCCGTCATCTTCATAGAGGTTCTGAATGTCTACGACAGCGGCTCTAACAACATCCAAGACGCCATGCAGGCTGTGACCACATTGAACAAGGTCTTCTCGGCTCTCGATGAGGAAATCATTTCTCCGTTCGTCTACAAGGTGGAGACCGTGGGCATGGTCTACATGGCCGTGTCCGGAGCACCCGACGTCAACCCTCTGCATGCGGAGCACGCATGTGATCTGTCCCTGCGCGTGATGAAGAAGGTCAAAGCTCATGCACTGCCGGGCGTGGCCATTCGCGTGGGCATCAACTCGGGGCCCGTGGTGGCCGGAGTCGTTGGGCAAAAGGTGCCCCGCTATTGTCTGTTCGGGGACACGGTCAACACCGCCTCCCGCATGGAGAGCAGCAGCGATCCCTGGAAGATTCAACTGTCCAACTACACGGCCACAAAGGTGCGCAAGGTGGGCTACAAGTTGGAGCTGCGTGGCCTTGTCAAGGTCAAGGGAAAGGGCGAGATGGAAACTTTTTGGCTGCTGGAAGGACCAGAGTAATATTGTAGCACTATCCATTGACCAATATCCTCACACCAAATATGTACAAATTTCGAAATAAAATAAAACGAACACATCATCGATAGTATCGATAGCAAGTATCGCTTTGCAAGCTGTCATCAGAAAATGGCGCCCAATGCGGTTGTCAGCTGTTCATGTTGTTATTGAATTTGATGCCGGTTTTTAGATACTACGCTTCTAACTAGAATGACTGGCGAAAAGATGTTGCGTTTTAATCTAATTGTAGCGGTTTGCGAAAACTTTGGCATTGGCCTCAAGGGAGACCTGCCATGGAGCATCAAGTAAGTAAACTTCTGTCCTGATGGTCCGTCCAAGGCTTAAATGTTTCTCTGGAACTAATAACCACTTCAGATCCGAGCTGAAGTACTTTAGTCGCACCACCAAGCGGACCAGCGATCCATGCAAAAGCAATGCGGTAATCATGGGCAGAAGAACTTACTTTGGAGTGCCCGCCAGCAAGCGTCCGCTGCCAGAGCGCTTAAACATTGTCTTGAGCACCACGTTGCAGCCGGCAGATCTGCCCAGTGATGTGGTACTGTGCTCTAACCTAGAGGAAGCCATGAAGCATCTGGAAACGAAGGCCTTGCGCGACGAAATTGAGAATGTCTGGATTGTGGGCGGCAGTGGAGTTTACAAGGAAGCCATGGCCTCGCCCCGTTGCGACCGTCTTTACATAACCAAAATCCAGCAGAACTTTGAATGCGATACCTTCTTTCCCAGCATTCCGGACAGCTTCCGAGAGGTGTCGCCCGATGCGGACACACCCCTAGGTGTTCAGGAAGAGAACGGCATTAAGTACGAGTACAAGGTGTTGAAAAAAATAGAATAATAAACCGATTTATTTGCTTTTACTGCTGCCGCGCACATCGTCTGCCGTGATTGTATCGCCCTCCAGTCCCTTGGCGGCAAGCATGAGCTCATAGAGCTGCACCACTTGGTCATCTTTAAGCATTTCCACTGCATTGGGATCCATTTCCTCGCCCAGCTCTCCCTTCGGCTTGCCCCGCAGTCCCAACTGCTTAGTAATAGTTGAGGCATAGCGCTGAAAACACAGTTGTCAGCTGCGATTCCCACATCTTGGTAATTACGTAAAACTTACGGCCCATTCTGTCATAAAGAGCTGCGCCTCCATGGGATTGCACTTGAGATGCCTCTTGAATTCGTCCCGTACATAGCCATCGCCCAGAGCTCTCAGTTCTGTGGGCATTCCTAGAAATAACAAATATCTGGATGGAATTGATGCGCCAGTTGTGAAACTCACACTCACCTCGATGCAGTCGCAGAATGGTTTTGTAGAGCAAGCGAACTCGCTGCGGGTGCGTTAGTTGATTTATCACAAGGTTTGACATTTTAATTTCGTTAATAAATACTTGAATAAATTAATTAATTTATAATACATAAATATATAGTAAATAGTCGACTGCCGTTCAAATATACCGCATGACTCTAAAACGAATACCGAAATATATTATCTCATTTCAAAATATACCGCACTTATACCGAGTCCTAGAACATATATTACTCGATAATAATATTCTATTTAATATTACCTGCTAATTAGGACTCTCAGCCCAAAGACTATGATTTTATCCGATTGATGAATCCACTCTCCACAGATTGCCTGATTTAAATATCAACAACATAAGGTTTCAACTATAAATCAACAAAAAATGAAAGCATTAAACTTAAGTGGAAATGCAATGCAAACCACTTGTTGCTTTTCAACCAGTAGTATGTACTTAGGTATACCCTATTTCAATTAATGTAACAATTTCTCAAGTGCTTTCAAAGAAATGGATCAAGTTGTCCTGGTGAACGCGCCCATTGACTAGTTTCTGCATTTATTGCAACCTGAGATGACAAACATGTTCTCAATTCGATTATCTCGTTCTCCTGAAGGGTATCAGTAACAAATCAAATGGTATTTTTTGGTGAAATACAAAAGAAAACGCTAGATGGCGTCCTAATAAATGTGAAGGGTTAATGTTACTCTTTCAATTTCGTTTATTTGTAGCATGTCTGTATATATATAATCACATGTGCAGTGTAACGTTCAATCTATCATGAATGCATCTCTTAGGGTCGAATTTAAAGTACTTTTAGTGGCGTGTGTATTGGACTCTGCATCAGAAAATAAACCAATAAATTGTATACACGCCCACACTTTGAATTAACTTTGGCTAACTATTGCACGCCTCTCTCAATACTATACGCCTAATGATACCAAGCACCAATTGGGAGGTGGCGGAGGGGTACACAACATTGTCGTCGTCAGAATAGAAAACGATTTTGTAACAATTCAGTTTCGTTATTGCGGCGCCGCTGCAGCCGGTGGCTCCTGATCCGCCGGCTCCGGCTGCCCTCCGTTCTGAACTAGCAGTGGCTCGCCACCCTCGCCGCCCCATGGAAAACCGCCAGGACGATCCTCTGCTGCAGCCTGGTAGTTGCGCTCAATGTGCTCGTTAAAAAGCCTTTTTCTAAAAGGGAAGGGTCCAGGTTTAGCTTAATAGAAGCAAAAGTAGATTATAACTCACAGAAAATATGGAGTCTTGATCAGTCTGTATCCATTGGAGAGTGTTGGATATACGTCCTCCAGCACATAGTAGATGTGGCCCACGCCCATGCCAATTATGTCTACCCAAACCGTGTTGCCCAGAATCATGGAGCAGCAGAGCAGAACCCAGGGAAGATAGGGAGCCTGTCCACAAGGGATTAATTAGTACGCTCACTGCATATTCTCAGAGAACTCTCGGACTCACCTGAAAGTTGAGCACGCCGAAAAAGTTCATGGGCACCGAAGGATTGCGTCGCGACCACACATAGACCAGCATCAGAGTGAAGGCCTGGCCCAGGAACAACAGGTTGACAAAGATGCCAAAGAACGTCATCAGCACGCCGCCAAAGATGAACATCATGACAAAGTCCGAGCTACGCCCGCGGAATGAGCCGTCCTCCAGCATGCGGCAGTAGCGATATGTGAAGACCATATTGAAGAAGAAGGTAATGCCGATGGTTCCAAAGTACAGGAATGTGGTGGCCAGTCGCCAGATTTGGAATTTGCGCAAAATCAGCGTGGGATTAAAGTACAGTTGTAGCGGCGACACCAAATCCAGGTGCTGCAGGAGAGGATCCATATCAATGAAATGGTTAACAAACAGATGGGAGGGTACACGTCACCCACCGGGGGCAAATAGATGGCCTGAATCGGGACAATGACTTACCACCGCCAGCGTTGTGAGCACGCAGACTGTTGTGTAGGCCCTGGTGACGACCGGGATCTCCAGATAGAATTGCCGCAGAGAATTCATGGCGTTGACGACTCCTCTGGACTCACAGTATGGCAATTCCTGCTCTGCTCCTTGATTTGTGCGTTTTGTTGTTGTCTGCCCGCCACTTTGCGTTCACATTTGCTGTGTCAAAATATCCCACCGACGAATGTCCAATTTGCCTAGGCTGACAATCAGAAATAGAATCGTTTATTTAGGGCACATTTAGCTCGAAAAGTTAAAAGATGTTTTTATTTTTATAATTTTTGCAGCAGTGTGACCGTAGACGCCTTGATCAAAGATACCGTCGAATATACCGAAATATACCTTCTCATGTCAAAAACAAATACCATAACCCAGTTAACCCTCCTATATTCAAACAGGTGCAATCTCAGGTTAAACAGCCAAAGTTCTTTCGATATTTCGATACATAAAATAACTTAAGTTCAATTTAAACGGGTGCGCAACAGAAGGATCTTCAGAAGAACTGATTATTCTACTTTCAGGCAAAGGAGATTATTTCTAGACCTTAAGTGCCATATTTGCTAGTCACTGATACGCAAGTTCTTGCGGCAAAGCAATCAAATCTAGTCTAGCTTATAAATATTCAAGCAACAAAATTCATATCGATCCCTGCTGCTTGGTCCATCTCTACAATTCTAGTCGCTGCAAGAAAAAAAAACAATGTGGTTCCATAGCTAAGCAATAGATGGCGCTTTGTATGGTTGGCGGTCATTTAAAATTGGTAAAGCTTTAAAACCTTGTCAAGATGCTGAATATTCGCTGCCTAAATGTACAGTTACACACATAAAGCTGGCTTATGGCATTTTTTTTGCTGCTCACACCCACTCACACACCCCAGGCGCCTGCGCCACCTTTGCTCCATCCCAGCGTCGCAAACTTTACATAAATTCCAAAAAGGCCAAACCCCCAAAAAATAAATCTACGGCCCGCTCCAAGCACAAGGCAATTCAACAAGTAAGTTGTTGCTGCCATGCTCTTGCCATCTCACTTGCTCCCAGCCAATGTGAGCTGCTCGTCAGCGTGATTTTGCCGCTTTGTAGTTGTTTCTGGCTCTGGCTCTGGCTCGACTCTGGCTGCTGCTGCTTTTTTCCACTTTTTTTTCTGGCTTGTTTCATGTTGACCCACTTTTTGGTGGGCAATACGTATACGTGCGCCCGCACAGTGGAGCACAGGCGCGGTGAAAGCTGCAAAGTGCAGCCGGCACTGCTATTTGGTTCGGTTTTGTTGAATTTTGCCCACCGTGGGACAGGCAAAAAAGTCATAAACTGAATTGCCAACAGGTTATAGCGACTACGACTTTGTTGTTGGTGCTTTTGCTGTTTGGCTGCAGAGTAGTAAAAAGGGCCATGACAGTGACACTCTGAAGTTTGAGGTTAAATCGTCATTGAAGTTGCCTTGCTTTTGTCCGTTGCTCTTTCGGTTTGAGCCGGGTATGACATTTGCTTGAAGCCACCACTGACTGACTCGATTGATTCATGAAAAGAATACAGCCACAGCTAAAGCTCTTTGGGAGCGAATCTTTGTTAGAGGGAGATGAGAGCAGCATCGGAATTGGACTGAAATTGAAATCTATGATAAATTTCATCTGGAATAAGGAAAAGGCCTTTGTGGCTTAGAATCTGCCATTCTGCTCTTTGGTATCTCCGCTCTGCATGTGATATTTCTGCTGCATTCTGTTTGGTATGCAAATTCGAAATTCAAATGACTTAAGCCGCAAACTTGCAGAGGAAAATGATTTGATTATGATTTACTTTGTGTGTGTTCTTCAGCTAACACACACTAACGCATACAAGCACGCTTATAAAACTCACATTTGAAAAGTGAAATTTCAAAGTAGAACAACGTACAACCAGCAACAACAACACGTACATAGTACGTACAACACACGCCGTGCCACGCAACCAAGAGAGGCCGGGCCGCGAGAGAGGTTCCAATAAAAATGAGGTCACTTGTCGCTGACCAGCCAGTTCCCCCTGTACCAGGTTGTCCCTCTGCCCCACCATTTCTCCCGCTGCCACTACCCCACTGACCATTGATCGCATAGATCACGCGCCGTCTGTGGCTATACCCTTCTAGAGGGTATTCCGAATCGTAGATCCTCGATGGGTAAACTTGTAGCATCTAAGCCAAAGTTGAACAGAATATTAATGTCGATTCAGACTAAGATCGCTCTGCTAGAGGGTATCAGTAGCTTCGGCCCAAAAGCAAACTTTACTTTCTTGTTGTTGGTATTGCTTCTAGTGTTGTTGCTGGTTGTTGTTGTGCATTGTAAATTAATTGCAGTCGCGTCGCCTCGTCTTCTTCAGTTTGTTGTTGTTTGGCTTTAACCGTTCTTAACCAGTTTTAGGCCATCCATCGTGTGTGCCATTAAAATGCACCACGAACTTGACAACGCAACGGAAGATACGTATGGTGAAATACCTCTCCCCCCCTTGGAAAGAAAGACTTTCGCTATGGACAAGAAATATAAAGACAAATGTATGTAAATGTATACCAATGTAGTACCTATTGGAAGAGGCTCAAAATTGTGCTTTTAGATATATTTAAAATATATGTACAAAAATAGCACTAAAAACAATGGGCTTCATTTGTTTCAAATAAATAAATACAGTAGCATAGCTCTGAGGCATTTGGACGATAATTAATGAATTGATTATGTCTAAAACGATGAACTATTAAAATATGTACCTACAAGTGTACATCATTTAATCGAATTGGTAGCTTCTTGTTGAATGATTTGTGAGTTAGAATTTCATGGTAATTATTTATTTGCAATTATTTCGCACACCTTTCAAGGCACTTGTCTTTGATCTTGTTAGCAATGCTTCTTTGTTGGTAATAGTTTAATTACTACAAATGTTTTTTTGTTGGCTCAGAATCATAATCAAGTTTAATTGCGTATTTCATAAGATTTGCCGTTGTGCACTGTTTGCTTTTGCAGTTAATTAAAGTCTGTAAAAAAGAGGGGAATAAAAAACAATAATAAAACCAGCACAACACTTAAAATATTAATAATTGATTATAATGTTATTACAGACATGATTTATTCTGCTCAGAATCTTGGTCAGCCGATGCCGATCGGCGAGGCGTGAAAACAAAGTCTCAGAGTTGCTTGCAAGCGCCCCAGAGGGTGGGTAAAAATATTGCAAAATCAACGAATTGCAATTTCGGATATGAATAATAGTTTTTAATTGCCAAAAAAGCGAATGCATAAATTATGAATATTGCAACATTTTTCGCATTTAACAAGTCCAAGTCCATCCGAAAATCCACTCAAACCCCCCGTGTTGTACTTCCTCTCACCCGCTACTTCCTGCACGCGATCCATTTCCGTTCTGTTTTGTGGCTCCACTGTACATCCATCAAAGTCTCAATCAAGAGCAAAAGTAATCAAAACACCAACGCATGAGGGGGAGAAAAAGAGATAGGGAGATGGAGAGCCACAGCGACACAAAAGCAAATGTGGGGAGACAAAACAAAATCGTTAAAACTAATAATACAGTGGGCGTTTGATACCTAGAAACAATGGGTGATACCGGGGGAATATTTATTTTTAAATATCGAAGCCCACAAATAGGAAACTTGTCGGTAGATATCTTCTTTGGTGAAATACTTCTTTGTTTATTTTTGTTTTGATAACAAAGGTATTTCCATTATTGATCATTCACTGTAGCTGTTTGTATTTATGCATGAATATATGTGAGGCATGTACAGAAATATACCTATTTTCGTATGAACTTGTTTATCTACATTCGCAATGTAAAAATGTACACACATAAATATGTGTGTATACATATGTATACACACATATGCATACATACATATGTAGCTACATACAGAAATGGCATAGCAGAAGCAGCAACAAAACAACAGCATCAGCAGCAGCATTGACAGTGCCACACAAAAAAATAGACAAACAACAAACAGTACACACACACACACACACACACAAATACTAACGCAAACAAAAACAAAATAGAAATGGAGAGCAACTTTCACCCAAGGTCATTGTGTCTTTAACTGCGCCACACAGCCTAGGCAGAGGAGGGGCAGCAGCAACCGCAGCAGCAACATCAACAACAACAACAAAAACAACAACAGCTGCTGGACAATATGAATATGCGACGAAGACCCACGAACGACCAAGCCGCCCCGCCGCCGACCGACGCCCGATTTGCTATTTTCAACAAAAAACAAACTAAAAGAGACTTGCCCAAAGCATGCGAAAAAAAGGTGAGGAAAGATGTCTGAACACACATACTCCTGTCGGTGAAAGGTCTCATTTGCTTTTACAGATTTTCTATGCATTTTATACTCCATCTAGGCCTTGCTACCTTCTATAAAACATACTTTGGACTATCCTCCTCCCTGTCACAAAGAGGTGGGAATGGGAGGAGCCAGTGGCAGCCAGTTGCATGTGCCAAAAAACAAACCAAAGCAAAAGGTAAACTGCAATTGCCGCTCGCGAAGTGGAGGAATGGAGGAATCGCGATAACAGAATAGCCTCGACTGGACGAGGCCGCCTGGAAAGGTCGAGAGCAAGCTTTTAGCACTAGATGAGTCATGAATGTACTTACATATGTACGTAGGACACATGCGGATGTTTAGTATAGGAAATGGGCAGTCTTTGCTTTTTGATTGCTATTAATTTTGATAAGTTTAGAATATTTTTACTTGCGATTATAGAAGAATGTGGAGTACTAAATGGATTGTTAAGAAATCTTTTTTGGATCCGGCCTACTCCTGGAAAAGTTGTCCTGCTGATATTTGATTTTTGTTGATTCATTTGTTGATGCCTAATTATATTTCATAATTAAATGAATCAGGTTCTAACCAAAGTTTACAGCATTTTTCTTTCCAACTTTTTCGGTGCTCAACTTCAAATGACAGTTTAGGCACTTCAATCCTATAGGATTCCCCCATCTTTCGTGCTATCTGCATGGTCTGCACGATCTGGGTCATGCTTGGGCACATTGAAAGCTGCCTGCAATTAAGTGGCCAAAAAATAAAAGATGAAT